TTTAGTCTCGAGCGGAAGCTTCAGCGTGGATGCTCAGCGGGGAATTCTCCGTCACCAGAGCTGCTGGTACCCTCCTGGGGTAGTGTTCTATTTAACTCCGCTACCATGTTAAGGGGGAGGAGGGGAAGTGGGCTTCCGGCCTCCTACACTCACCAGACGAAGTGCATAAGCATAGCTTCTACATCACGCTGGTGATGTAGAAGCTCTGCTTCTGCATTGTTTTAATGATCTCTGTGAGGTTGTGGTACCACCCCGGTTCGATTCGGCCCATACGTGCAACAGGCGTGGGGTTGTACCACTTATGGTTTAGTGACCTACTATATATATAACACAAAAAGCGACAGTAGTCTAATAGCAGGGTGCGAATCGCGAACTCATAAGATCGTGGGTTCGAATTTTATTCGACAATTGTCGTATACCACTCGTAACAAAAGCATTTTAAGCTAACAAAGAGTAGTTAAGAGGAATATTAGCGGTGTTAATATTGTCTATCATTGCTAACTTTTAAGAAAATATATAATGCGACCAGACTAGTACAAGGGGTTGATTTCGATTTTCAGTGTCGTGGGGAAGCGCAGGTGTAGCGGTGGGCGCGAGCGGGAGTCGGGGCGAGGTGGTGGCGGCGGGTGGGCGCTGGGCCGCACCGCTGTGCGCGCGGCCCGGCGCGCTGGCCGTGCGCCCGCTGCTGCCGCGAGCTACGCGCCCGCCTGCCCAGCCGTCCGCCCTGCCGCCCGCACTACCGCCAGCCCTGCTGCACTGGCGCGATGCGTCTGCAGACCGCGCGCTGCTGCACCGCGAGCGTCGCGCGCCACCCGACCACGTCTACAGGTAAGTACATACACGCACAGAAACACGCTCGTACGTGCTCACGTACACGCAACATATACACACCTATACAAACATATTTATGTACGTAGGTACACGCTATCAAATACATTCTGTTAACACGTGGCGATTTTATATTAATAAGTGATATTATAGTCTACACATAATACGTCTTTTTACTTAGCACAAACCTTTCATTTCTTGAAAGGTTTTAGATCAATTGTTCCGCTACACTGCTCTTGTGCGTGTTAGCGAATTTCACATGTCCTTTATACAATTTTTCACACAAACATTCAAGTAATTTTACTATTAATTATTATCTTTATCGAAGAATAGTAAATAAATTGTTTCTTAAAATTACATTTAACTATTTTTTACTGAAATACTAGTGGTATGAAAATCAACTATACATTAAAACAATCGTAATGATTTCTATATTTATGCGAACACTACACATTAAATAAAACTATTTTTACGGATGATATTGCGTTTAATTTTCTTACATATTTTTAATTCCTGACGTTTCGGAGATTTGCAACATTTATCGACACGGGGGACTGAGGTGATTGACGTTCAGCTATCAAACTTACCCCAAACGTGCAAACGTGCAAACGTGCAAACGTGCGAAGCACCCGTGTGCTTTACACCTAAGATGCTGCTGCTGATAATATAAGTAAAATAGAAAATATATTTAAAAACTGCTAATAGCTAATGATGAGTATGTAGCTATGTGAACTGATTCGATAAACAATAAAAATAAGAAAATGAGGCAAAAATGCTGATCGGGTGATTTGTGCGCTTGCACCGTACAACCAAAAACGTCAGGAATTTAAAGTTAGTAAATTAAACGCGATCTGAATATCTGTAAAAATAGTGTTATTCAAATAATAAAACAAATGTTACCGCCACTCACAGATTTATTATCCATAAAATCGTGATGAAATGTGTAATGTGCAGGTTTTGCTGCGTGATAGTGCGGGAGCGGTTCCCGGTGGAGCGCGGGGAGCCGCTCGCCGGGCACACGTTGACGCTGGTGCCGGCGCTGCGTCTGGAGAACCTGCTGCCGCTGGAGCTGCAGTACCGCGCCGGGGACGTGTGCGGCACGCTGGCCCCAGCAGACACCAGGCCCTTCCATGAGGTACGCAACAAACATTTAATTGGGATTCAAAAAGTTCGCGACTCAGTATACTTTAATCACATTGCCATTCTGGTTTCTACTATTTATTCCGCTGCTTTTTATTTAAATGGTAATAGGTTAGCACAGTTACAAATGTTTTTTTTTATAGGAGAGAAGGGCAAACGAGCTACATACGGCTCACCTAATGGTGAGTGCCTTGAAACTAAGGCGATACGACGAACGGGTTCTTTTTAGCGGTAACCGCGCAATCTTGTGTCTTTTGGGAATTGAACTGGACTAGATTTATTACGATTCCGAGACTTTGTTCAACAAAGTCTTGACTTCAGACACAACTTTGTCCCGGTACTCGGCGACATTCTCCGGTGAAATATTGGCAAGGCCAGAGTGTAAAGCATCACCAGTGCTGCCGTCTGCATAGCAATGAATGTTACCGGTTTGCAGTATATCATTAATATGCAGAAGAAACAGCTTTGGTGATTGCACGTAGCCTGGTGGAATACCAGCGTTAATGGGCTAGTAATCGGAGTATGCACCGTCTATTACGACCTTAATACTCCGATTTGCAAGAAAACTTGTAATCCGATTGCACAATTTCTCGGGAAGCCCATAGTAAGGAAACTTCGTAAGAAGCGCTTTGTGCCAAACCCTATCGAATGCCTTCGCTATGTCCAAACTAACGGCCAACTTCTCCTCCTTGGACACAACTGCCTTCGCCCATCTATGAGTTAGGTAACCCAGAAGATCACCAAATGAGCGACCCCGACGGAACCGTCCTGGCGGTCACTAATCAACTGGTGATTCTCAAGGTACCCCATGAGTATGTTTACAAAATTACAAATGTTTCATTAATGTTTGTCATGTCGTCGTTGTAAGGTAAACGCGGAGGAGGGCGTGGAGCTGAGCGTGAAGTTGGAAGGGTTCGGGTGGTCAACGTCGCTGAGCGTGGGCGGGATGGGCGCGGCGGCGGGTGGAGGGGCGGGAAGCGGCGCTTCCTTCAGCGCACGCCTCAAGCTGCGTGACCTACGAGGCAGAAGGCTCTACCTTAATGCGCGCGTCAGCGTCAACAAAGCTGATGGTATCAAGGTATGCCACTTATTTAACTAAAAAACGGTGCATTTTACTATTTTTTTAAAGAATGAGGGTGACAAAGAAGCTCACATTCCACCTTATGGTAATGCTGTGACCCGTAGACATTTATATTTATCGTCGACTAAAAATCAACATGTAGATTGTCACTCCTGAGGACTAAGATGGAATGCCTGGTTTCCATTAAAAAGAGTCTCCGGTTCTCTACACTCACCATACGAAACACAATAGCATAAATTGCTATTTCGCGCTGATATTTTGTGGGAGCGTGGTCCTTCCCCTGTCGAGTCAACACATTCGTGTTACAACTATAATATAGCTGCTGCAGCGTGGCTTTACCTCGTAGAAATCTAATTTAATCAACTTAAATGATTAGATTTTGACTGGTTTTGGTAGTCTTTTTTACTTTTTTTTTTCAACTTTTTGTAAGGTTGAACTGAGGTGAAAAATATATTGACGATAATCCTAAGATTATAAATTTTTAATTTCGATTCATTATTTATTTTTGTATGCTTTTAATATTTTACGTAGTTTCCTAATTTTTATTTTTCAAGAATTGTATTTTGTGATATGAATTTTCATACCTAGTCGCATTCATTAAAAAGCCCTAAATTTTAAATGTAGCTTTTAACATTTAACGTAACTATTTTGACTGTACTTTTATCTCTCAGAAATGAAAGTCAGAAATTAAATAATTCATTCATTAAGAACAAATTAATAGAGGAAAAACCAGAAAAACTTCAGGCTTGTGTTATATTATCTCGTCGTCGATCTAAAATACAATGGCGTGGGAGGGGTTAGTGATATACCTGCTGAGTGGGTGCTTTCGGTGCTGTGTCTCTCTCTCTCTTTCTTTCTGTTTGTGCGCGAGTGTGTGTGTGTGTGTGTGTGTGTGTGTGTGTGTGTGTGTGTAGCATGCGTGTGTGCAGGTGCAGGTGTCGGTGCCCGTGGGTGTGTAGCGCTGTGGGTGCGTGTGTGCGTGCAGGTGTCGGTGCCCGCGTGAGTGTAGCGCTGTAGGTGCGTGTGTGAGTGCAGGTGTTGGTGCCCGCGTGTGTGTAGCGCTGTAGGTGCGTGTGTGCGTGCTGGTGTCGGTGCCCTCGTGTGTGTAGCGCTGTAGGTGCGTGTGTTCGTGCAGGTGTCGGTGCCCGCGTGTGTGTAGCGCTGTAGGTGCGTGTGTGCGTGCAGGTGTCGGTGCCCGCGTGTTTGTAGCGCTGTAGGTGCGTGTGTGCGTGCAGGTGTCGGTGCCTACGAGTGTGTAGCGCTGTAGGTGCGTGTGTTCGTACAGGTTTCGATGCCCGTGGGTGTGTAGCGTTGTAGGTGCGTGTGTGCGTGCAGGTTTCGATGCCCGTGGGTGTGTAGCGCTATACGTGCGTGTGTGCGTGCAGGTGTCGGTGCCTACGGGTGTGTAGCGCTGTAGGTGCGTGTGTTCGTGCAGGTTTCGATGCCCGTGGGTGTGTAACGCTGTAGGTGCGTGTGTCCGTGCAGGTTTCGATGCCCGTGGGTGTGTAGCGCTGTAGGTGCGTGTGTGCGTGCAGGTGTCGGTGCCTACGAGAGTGTAGCGCTGTATGTGAGTGTGCGTGCAGGTGTCGGTGCCCGCGGGTGTGTAGCGCTGTAGGTGCGTGTGTGCGTGCAGGTGTCGGTGCCTACGGGTGTGTAGCGCTGTAGGTGCGTGTGTTCGTACAGGTTTCGATGCCCGTGGGTGTGTTGCGCTGTAGGTGCGTGTGTTCGTGCAGGTTTCGATGCCCGTGGGTGTGTAGCGCTGTAGGTGCCTGTGTCCGTGCAGGTGTCGGTGCCTACGGGTGTGTAGCGCTGTAGGTGCGTGTGTGCGTGCAGGTGTTGGTGTCCGCGGGGGGAGTGTAGCGCTGTAGGTGCGTGTGTTCGTGCAGGTGTCGGTGCCCGCGTGTGTGTAGCGTTGTTGGTGCGTGTGTGCGTGCAGGTGTCGGTGCCCGCGTGTGTGTAGCGCTGTAGGTGCGTGTGTGCGTGCAGGTGTCGGTGCCCGCGTGTGTGTAGCGCTGTAGGTGCGTGTGTGCGTGCTGGTGTTGGTGTCCGCGGCGGAGTTTAGCGCTGTAGGTGCGTGTGTTCGTGCAGGTGTCGGTGCCCGCGTGTGTGTAGCGTTGTAGATGCGTGTGTGCGTGCAGGTGTCGGTGCCCGCGTGTGTGTAGCGCTGTAGGTGCGTGTGTGCGTGCAGGTGTAGGTGCCCGCGGGTGTGTAGCGCTGTAGGTGCGTGTGTGCGTGCAGGTGTTGGTGTCCGTGGGTATGTAGCGCTGTAGGTGCGTGTGTGCTACAGGTGTCGGTCTCTGCTGCGTACTGGCTGGTGAACCGTACGGGACTGCCTCTGGTGTTCCGCGCTGAAGGCGGTGGTGAGGCGGCTGGCCAGTGGCCCGAGCACGAGCTGGCGCGCATGGTGGCGCCGCTGCTCTTCAGCTTCGCGGACGCGGACGCGGGGCCCACCATCTCCGCTAGACTCGGCACCGGCATCGCGCCCAACCCGGAGGTACATACTATGAATGTAAACAAAAAATTAAATTTTAGCACAAAGGAAAAGCCGATTCTAAGTCGGTGCTAAGACAGTGTATATAAGAATTAGTCTTTTTAAAAAGTTAAGCTTACCCTGGTAAAACTTTCACATAAAACATGTTTAAAATTCAGTTCTTTTTACAATGAGTCGGTTTTCATTCGGTTTCATCGAACAATATGTTGACGTGAAACATTTCATAGAACAAAATATGCTTACAAAAAGTTTTGGAAACCAAAATATTTTGGTACAAAATATATTTGTGTCGATATGAAAACGGATTGAAACATTTGTTTGTGTATACAATCACTATCATAAATATTGTAATTTTAAACAGTATTAAAGTTATTATTTTTATTTTTTCTACTACGACGTTAATAGACGTTGTCCAAATTATAAAGGAAAGCAAAATTGAAACCGTCTCTACCCATCGTTAATATTTTTTCATTTAATATTCTTTTCATTTCGTTCAACAGAAGAGGCAGTTTATAATCTGACTACTAAGATAGCATAATATTTAGATGAAGCTAAAATGTGTTTAGGAGTCTTTTTGTTTACAACATAAAGCTTTCGACACAGTGTCTATTTCTGTCCTGGTATAGGGCATTCGAGTAAGCCTTGGACTGGCTTAAAGATTATCTCTCCAACAGAAACCAAAAAGTACTTATTGATGACTACCTCAGTGATACGACTACTGCTACCTGCTTTGGAATTCCGCAAGGCAGTACACCGGGACCAACCCTCTTTTTGGCATACATTAACGACTTGTGTCACTTAAACATTCATGATGCAGACCTTTTTATGTTTGCAGACTATACATAAAGTCCTACTGTTTTATGGTCCTAGTTGGAATGCTGTTAAAAATCTGCTGGAAGATAAAAATTTCTGTTTTATAAAAACCGCTGCTTGCAATCCACGAAACGAATTCAAAATAATAACTAACATACATCCTTATAATAGAAATTATAATATTTATAAAACATGTGAATGTTCAATTGTAAGTAAAGCTGACAAAATTAGATATCTTAGTATAATAGTTGATGATAAACTTAATTGAGCTTCACATATTTTTTTTATTTCTAATAAAATCAGAATGTTGATTTATGTTTTTAAGAACTTAAAAACAGTTGTAAACAAAAACCTATTACTACAAACACACAAAGCATTATGCCAGAGCATTTCAACTTTTGCATATGTTCCTGGGGTTGCGCTGCTAAAACATATCTTATTGAATTAGAGCGCGGTCCGTCACGGAGTCCCAGTCGCCTTAGATGACCTGAGAGCCTGAGCTGAGGCTGTTCGCAGAGATGACTACAAGAAGAATTTTGGTCAGCAGACCACCCCACATGTCGGTCACCTCGTGAGCCAGCTCCAAATATTTTGTTTTCTTATCTGATTCGGCTTTCACTAGGTTCTCGTCATATGGAACGGTAATGTCGACCAAAAATATCCTTGACTATGCCCAGTCCATCAGCAAAATATCAGGCTTATTCGCAAGAATAGTCCTGTCTGTGATAATGGCACCGTCCCAGTAGAGCTTAGCGTAGTCATTTTCGAGCACGGCTTCCGGCAAGTACTTCCGGCAATACGGCAATTTCCGGTCCACGAGACTGTATTTCAGAGCGAGCTTCTGGTGTAGAATTCTGGCTACTAAATTGTGCCTGAGCAAGAACTTATAGTTAGAAAGCGCCGAACAACCAGAGATGACATGCCTAAGTGACTTGCCATCTATATCTTGCCATATATTTAATGACTGTGCCATCCTTTAGGATGTATCTCCGATAGTTGTTGGTCTTAATAACCAGATCCTGTATTGCACAGACAAAACCCTCGGTTTCCACGAAGAGATCACCAAAGCGTAGCCAATGAAGGGAGGCAACTGTGTCTATGAAAGGCTCATGAAGAGCCTTGTAGAATATCCCATGAAACTCCTCCTTCCATACGGTCTTTCGGTCGGAAATGCACTGTACTGCTGAGTCTTGCCATTGCTGGTTGGCTAAGAATAAAGGTATTAGCCCTTCATCTCACGAAATGACGTCCCTGTAAAATGTTTTATCCGATCTCGCCAGGAAATAATTACGGAGGCTGCACACTTTGCGATTATGCATGGTGAGAGTGCTTAAAAAGCCGCACCCACCATATTTCCGCGGCAAGTACAGCCTCTTTACTGACGATCTCGGGTCATGCATCCTGTGAGACATCATAACAGTGCGGACTTTTTTAATCTAAAGCGTTCAGTTCGGTCTGAGTCCACCTGTGTATGCCAAAGGTATACATGAAACCAGGCACGATCCAACCGTTATATGCGTGTGTCTTATTAACGCCCGATAAAAGGCTGTTAAGAACTTTTGTCAAGCGTGTCATCGCAAACTGACTGTTTTATGTCGCATGTATGGGGCATGGAGTCGAATACCTTTCTTTAGTCTATCCAGGCGGCGGAGAAATTTCGTTGATCTGAAGCACTTCGCCAATGACCGCGACAATGGGGAGTGGTTCCTTGGTTCCACGGCCACCACTCCGACATCCATTTTGAGCGCATGACGTCTCCTGATTTAGCTCTAGGTGACGACTGATTCTCGCGCTCAAAATGGATGTCAGTGTCTTATATATGGTGGGTAGACACGTGATGGGGCGGTATTTACTAGGGTCTGTGGTATCCTGATCTTAACGAACCAAGTGAGTGACCCCAGTAGTGAAGAGGCTTGGGAGCGACTTCTGGTCGAGAGCCTCTTTAAACTGTCGGGCGAACAAACCGTGCCACACTACTATTATTATTATTTGGGGTACCTGTATAATTTTCTCATCTGGTTGGGTTCTATAAATATATAATTGTTATTATAATTATTATTATTGCTTTATTTTATAAAATTAGCTGTGCCTAAAATGCTTTGTATTACAATTTTTTAAGGGGCAGGCGCATAATAACACCAAATTTTATATAGTTCTCTGATGAATGGTATAGGAACGCGAAGAAAACGGACAAATAAAAAGAATTTATAAATACAAAATAAAAATAAATAAATACAAATAAAGTATGCCGTAGATACATTATCCCCTAAAATCAGTGAACTAAAAATATCCTACAACTTGTAGATACTAAAATTATTTGATAAATGAATGTGAAAGCAAGCTGAAATTACCCTATGCTAATTGTTCTCTGTACAGTGGTGCTCTCCGTTCGGTCTGGGGCCGGGCATCACAGTGAAGCGGCTGGAGGCGGGCGCGGGTGTGGCCGCGGGGGCGGAGCGCTCGTTCGCGGTGGGCGTGGCCGTGCGCGCCGGCCGCGGTCGCTACCACCGCACCAACATCGTCACGCTCACACCGCGCTACCAGCTGCACAACAACACCTCGCGCCACCTGCAGTTCGCGCAGAAGTGCACTGCCACTACGCTCGTGAGTTTCATACATTTCATTAGTGTAAGCCTATTGCCTGCATTATCAAATGCAGACAAGAAGATAGAAATAATATATTATTCAAAAAGGATGAATGTGGAGAAGTTATGAAAAATCACGCGGGAGTACCCAAAGAGCTTCGTGCTCTGAACGTACATGCACAAGAAGATTTTCAAGGATCATATTCCATGCTGGGTTTATCCATCTCCCCCCCCCCCCATGCATTTACGGATTCTGAAGTTATAATCGGACGTAGTTACGCTAAAAGCATCACACAACAGTCGGGTCAAAAATGAATTATGTACCTATTCAAAAATAACCCTTAAGATCTATTCTTTCTTAGAATAAAAGAAATTCCAACAAAATTATTGTCACTTATCGCTAGTGCATGATTTTTTTTATTTACTTAAATCGTTATATTTCAAAAGTAGATCCTTTTAGCGTAAATATGTAAAATTTGTAGTACTAAGTAAAGCGTGCACGCAACAGAGTGATCCTGGGGCGAGCGCGACGCACGTGAGCGCGGTGGCGGGCTGCCATCTGCCGTGGCACTGGGCGCGTCGCGAGCGCGACCAGCTGCTGTGCGTGCGCGTGCTGCCATCCGCTGCCACTGGCCCTGCTAACAGCGACGCCGCCACCGCCTGGTCCGGCGGCTTCCGCATCGACAAACCGCGCAGCTTACACATCGCCTGCAGGTATTACGATTATACTACCTTAACACTATTAAAATTAGTTATGTTATTTAATGATATTTAATTGTCTATTGAAATGAAATCCTTTTCAATAAATTACGCTAGGACACATTCTAAAATGCGACCTCATTTCATTAATTCTGAGGTTCATATTCATACAGATAGTGTGCGAGTTGAATGCCGTCGGGGCCTGTGGTGAAGAGCGGGAGCATCTCCCCCCGCCGTCCGCACGCCGCGTCTCGCGCGCCTGCAGTGTAGTGCTGTGCTGTCCTTGACAACTATCATACGCTTACTGTGTTATCGTGTTAATATAAAGTTGCAGCCGCGTGTTATTTTTGTTTTTAATGATGTCTGATCCGTGTACGTCAAGTTCTGTTACAAAACCACGAGTTTTTATTCATCGCCAAGCACGGGAAATGGCGAAAAATGTTCTAGACATGTGTGTTAAAGAAAGGCAGAACAACAGATTAACATTAAATAATGCTTACGATCGCGCAAGCCGTTACACTAGACTTTCGAAGAGAACATTGTTTGCAGTTCAAAATGAAGCCATTAAAGGGCCTCTTTATCGCCTTCTAAAAAGAAAAGACAGTGTAACAAGAAGACAAATTTAAACGTCGATGATTTTGATCGAGATGTTATACACAGAATTATTGAAGAATTTTATTTAACTAAAAAAATTGTTCCGACCTGCATTAAACTCCTCGCAGCTATTCGAGAAAAAATCGAGTTTCCATGGGGAGTGACGAGTTTAAGAAAATTGTTAAAAGACATGGGATATAGATGGCTTAAATGTCATAATAAACGTAGAATTTTGGTGGAGAGGCCAGCTGTCGCATATGCACGGTCAATTTATTTGCGGAAAATTCGTCAATATAGGCAAGAAGATCGAAATATTTTTTTTCTCGATGAAACGTGTAGATAACAACCTCACATTTAAAAAATGCTGGAGAAATGAAATGATCGACGCCGTGTTGACAGATACAAGCTCCACGAACAGGATCATTCATGTCCACGCAGGATCGAGAGGAGGGTTTTTAAATAGTGCAAAGTTACTTTTTAAGGCTGATACTACGTCAGGTGATTATCACGGACAGATAAACACTGTTAATTTTGAGAAGTGGGCCACTGATATGTTAATCCCTAATCTACCACAAACCAGCGTTGTTGTGATGGACAACGCACCGTATCATAGTGTACAAGAAAATAAAGTCCCAACAAAGTCCAGCACCAAATCAGTAATGTTGGAATGGTTAACCAAGAACAATATCGAAGCTTCACTTACTATGAGAAAAGATCAGCTCTTTCACTTGGTTCAGTTACATAAACCTACGGAAAAATCTTTCAAAATCGATGAATTCATCAGAAGTCAAGGCCATATCGTAGTAAGACTACCACCGTACATGTGCGACCTCAACCCTATTGAGTTGGCTTGGGCAAAAGTAAAAAGAATTGTAAGGCATCACAATGTTACTTCTGATTTCTCCCTAAAAAGGGTAAAAGAAGTTACGGAGCTGGCTCTCTCTCTCAGATCACAGAGGAAGGTTGGCGTGGCTTCGACGATCACGTCATAATTTTAGAAGAAAATTATTGGCAAAGAGACGGATTAATGGAAGATACCATAGATCGATTCGTAATTGAGGTCAGCGAAGGTAAGGATAGTGACACCGATTCAACCAAGTCTGCCATTTCAGAATCTGATGCTGCATAAATTATAATTTTTTTATTGATTTTGATGTGTAAAATAATAAAAAATGTGTGATAATTATTACCTTGTTTTTTCTAAACTTAAAACGTTACACTTAAAACAATGTTGAAATTTATCGACATATTGTCATCATTAATTCTAATTATAGCGCTATCTGTAAATTAAGCAAGCAGTATTTCACTTTCAACTACACGTTAATTTATAAAACACAGAATATAAAAATACACAAAATATAAAATAAACGCATTTTTGTCTTCAAATACTCGCATACACACAAAAGGAACATTTGTGATCGCGCAAAATTCACACCTTATTCAGTCAATCTGTTAGTAATTGTTTGTTGGAAAAATTTTAATTTTACATTAAATTTTATTATTTATTTTAAGTACATGCTAACAGTTTGAGTGTCGTAAGTCTAATATATAATTGTATGTTCATTAGCTTAGGTTCAATATTTAGTTGTATGTCCGTTAGCTGTTACAATGACGACATATGAAAACGTGGAATGCTATTAGCAATCTAAAGTGATCTTTATGTATGATAATAATTTGGTGGTAATTATATAAACCAAATATAAATTTATAATAAAGTTCAGATGTGTGAACGGCGTGAAAAGACTACAATCTACTAAGACTAAAAAAATGTTTGACATTGGCTTACATTCCATCTCAGTCTTCAGAGGTGACAACGAATCTGCATTTTGATTCTTAATCGAGAAAAAATGCAGATGTCTATCGGCCACAGCACCTACTTACCATCCAGTGGTTTGTCACCCAGATTCTATAAAAAAACTATTTACATAACTTATTTAAGAAACAGCTTGGAAGCTTCTGATAACTTATGATATTGCTATATTGATGTTGATAGTTGTTGTGTGCTTGGAGAATGTCAGGTAGGACGACGTCACTATAATGAAACGGTTGCAGGGAGAGTGGGGGTTCTTACGTGCTGCTGAGGGCAGAGGTGGTGACTCAAGGCGCTACGCTGCTGGTGGTGCTTACGGACGCGGCCTGCGCGCCACCGCCGCTGCGCATCGACAACCACTCGCCCGTCGCCGTCATGTTCCACCAGGTACGTGCTGGTGTGCCTGTTGGTACTGGTGGTGACGTAGTGTTTATGTGCCAAATAGTTCCTTTGTTTTGATTAAATAGACTTTAAAGTCTGATGGCTTGTTAGCGCATATGCACATTACATTTACAAGTATTCGTATGATTTATAAGTATTTGTTCTTTGTGTTTTGGTTCATGTGCAATATAATATGTATTATGAAAAATACACGTGTTCTACCATATGGTATTTTCTAATTTTTGGATTAACGTTTCTTGTCATAAAGAGAGGCTACTAGTTAACGTTATAAAAAGATTTGAGTGCAATTTAGCGTAGTTAATTAAAGAAAGGAGTGCGTGCGCTGGCAGTGATGATGTGTGAGTGGGGCGTGTGCGTGTGTGTGTGCGTGTGCGTGTGCGTGTGCGTGTTCGTGTGCGTATACGGGCGCGCGCGCGTGTGTATGTGTGTATGTATGTATGTGTGTGTGTGTGTGTGTGTGTGTGTGTGTGTGTGTGTGTGTGTGTGTGTGTGTTGCGCGCGTGTGTGCGTGAGTGCGACAGTGCGAGTGTGTGTGAGTGCGTGAGTGCGAGTGTGTGTGTGTGTGTGTGTGTGCGCGCGTGTGGGCGTGAGTGCGACAGTGCGAGTGTGCGTGAGTGCGGGTGTGTGTGTGTGTGTGTGTGTGTGCGCGTGAGTGCGACAGTGCGAGTGTGCGTTAGTGCGTGAGTGCGAGTGTGTGTGTGTGTGTGTGTGTGTGTGTGTGTGTGGGCTTGCGTGTGTGTGAGTGTGACAGTGCGAGTGTGCGTGAGTGCGAGTGTGTGTGTGTGTGTGTGTGTGCGCGTGTGTGTGTGTGTATGTGTGCGCGTGTGTGCGTGAGTGCGACAGTGCGAGTGTGTGTGAGTGCGTGAGTGCGAGTGTGTGTGTGTGTGTGTGTGTGCGCGTGTGTGCGTGAGTGCGAGTGTGTGTGTGTGTGTGTGTGTGTGTGTGTGTGTGTGTGTGTGTTTAGAGCTGTGAGCTTGCAGTGACGTGCAGTGCGTGCGCAGGTGGGGTGCGCGGAGGAGTGCGTGGTAGGCGCGGGGGGCACGCGCGCGCTGGGCGCTGCCGGAGCCGGAGGGCGCGTGCGCGCTGGCGCTGCGGGCGCCGGGCGGGCCGCGCCTCGTGCTGCCGCTCGACGCCGCGCCGGCGCCGCACGCGCACCGCCTGCTCTACCAGAACTTTCTCTACGTTGCCTTCCCCGCCACCAGTGACAGGTAACCCTCGTTTTTTATCTGCTTGCTTTTATAGAAGAGATCGACATCAAATTAAAAAAGGACATTGAAGTTTTTGAAAAAAAAAATGTAATTTAATTTACATACCTTGCATCAAAATAGTAACTAAATATTCATCTAGTGACTTCTTTTATTTTCGCAAAAAACTTCACATTGAAACTATTTTTTTTTTGGATTTTATTGCATTTAATTTAACTTCCTTGGAGAGGGATATGCTCGGAGTTTCTTAGAAATGAGGATATCCGCAGTAGAACTAGAGTGACCGAAATAGCCCAACGGATCAATAAGCTGAAGTGACAATGAGCCGGTCATATAGCTCGAAGAACCGACAACTGTTGGGGAAAAAAGGTTCTCGAGTGGCAGCCTCGTACCGGCAGGCGAAGTGTAGGGCGACCCCCTACTAAATGGAGTGACGACCGTGCAAGACATGCAGGAAGTCGATGGATGCAGGTGGCTCAGGACCGTGCTTTGTGGCATACCTTGGGGGAGGCCTATGTTCAGCAGTGGACTTGTGAAGGGATGTAATGATGATAATGATGATGAATTTAATTTCCCAATTCCCGACGCTTCGGGTGCTTTAGAGCATATGGTTACGGGGTGGACTGAGGTATTTGCATCCTGATGTCATAGCATAGTCTTAGAATACAAAGGTAATATGTTCAACATCGTCCCTTCATATTACATTAGTTTTAATAGACCACAAATCTTCTCAAAAGAACACCGATTCCTATCTAGAATGATTTGCGACGCTATTGAAATTAAAAAATATCCTAATTTCAATAGAAAAAAATGGATGGGTGCTACCAACTGCTTGGGATTCTATAATTAATAAAAATTAAATCCAAACTTAAACATACTATTACAAGACTTCATGATAGCACCAAAAATTAATATTCTAAAACTGAAGATAGCCGAACTATGACATCGGGACGTTAAACACCTCAGTTCACCCTATGACCATGGTAAAACACCTGTAATTAAAATGTTAACTTAAACGCGATGAAATCCGTAAAAATTGTTTCATTTAATATTTTCATCTTCAGCTCAGGTATTAAAATGCCATAGCATAACATCGAAACCATTATAATTTATTAGTATTTACCAATAGGGTATTACACCTAATTTTATAAATTGTTTTAAATGAATCCTAGAGTGAAAATGGATAATTTTATATAATTTTTTTAAAACCGAAAAGTGCCATTAAAGTTAATTATAATCTTTCTTTTTAAATTTTTGCGTGAAAACGCTAGCCGCTATGATGTTCAATTCGTGACGTCACTGTCCTCGATTTTGCCGATTTTTCAAAAGAATAAGATAGTTTTTAATGTTTAATAATGAGTTATCATCTAAATCATTGTTGTTTTGTGCCTGAATGCAAAAATACGAACATAACGCCGGGAAAGTTATGGATTCAAGTGCCAAGTATTTAAATATAAGAAATACTTGGTTAAAACTGGAAAGAAGATACCCGAATACATTGTCTACAAAAACCAGACTATTCTTCTGTGAAGATCATTTTGATGTAAGTATGACTTATATTTAACTATCCTTTAATACAAAACATAACATCATGAGGTGAACGGTATCTCAAGTCAAATTTTGTAACAAATTACGTTAACTTAGATATTATAACTAATGATTGCTAATGATTGTAATTATAGATAAACTAAGATATGGTAGCTACTAAACTATGTTTTATCAAAATACACTCTGACCTGGTATTGTGTTTTTGTATAAACAAAAGTTGGTAATAGGTACTTACATTGATGTTTTAACATTCCTCAACTCAGCAGAACAAAAATTGGGATTGCATGCAAAAAAATTCGCCATCATCAATTTATTTATCCTTGGTAGATTAGTACTTTCTGCTTTTACGAATTCGTCTTCCATGATGCCTTTTCAATAAAATTCGGAATAAAACTCAATAATCGTAATGATAACTTGAAAATTTTCGAAATAACACAGCACCTTAGCTAATTTTCTTAATCAGTGATACAGAACACACCCTTAGGCGGGTTCAGTGACATCACGATAGTATTTAATATGGCGGACAGCGTTTTGCAGAATTGAAGCACAGATGAAAACAAATATATTCTTAACCCTTCAGCCCCCAAGCGGTCTCATGAGACCGCGGCCATATTCCGTCAAATCCCTAGCGGTCTCATGAGGTCGCACCCACCCACAGCACTTTAACCCATAAAAACTTATGTATAGAGACTACTTTTCTATGAAGAAGTTTAGCATTATATAATCAATATGAAACACTCTATCCTCAAGTGCAGTAAAAAAACTGTTATCCTATGAATATTCATTTATAATCTACGTTTATTTCGTACGCCATTTTCGCGTGAATGTTATTGTGTTGATCTTATGATTTCTAATGTTATATTAGTGTTTTATTATAAAAATTTAAAGATAGTTTTTGTGTGAATATAATTTATCTTTATACGTAAATAATTTCGAGTATTATATATTGAAATAATTGTGATATTCACGCTGCGGACATTCGCTTGGTATGTTTTGTTTTTGTTATCAAAATACAATAGTATTTTTGTAATGAACTAAAACTTGACTTTTATATAGAGAAAGGGGGACGCCCATTTTCGGCCATGGAACGCCCAACAATGTGAATTTGTTAAAAAATTATATCTTTATTTATGGTTATTAATCGCGGTATTCATTTATCCTCAAACAATGGGAATATTTTTGCACAAATTAAAAGTACCGGAAACATAATAATAAAAATTAGGTAAATCATTATGTCATTAGTTTGTGAATAAAAAAAAAGTGTCACATTTAAAAAATCGATTCTCTTTTTCGATCGATTATTTACGGTGTCATCATTACAGTGCTAATATAATTTTTAAATAATTATGATGTTACGATAATTAAACAAGCGAATTCCTAGCTGATTTCTAATGAATTCTTTAGAGAGTAACAAATGCTACGGCACAATTTAACTGTTAATCTTAACCGATCTTCTTTGAAAACAGATAAGAACTGTTATTCTTATCTGTTTTTAAAGAAGATCTGTTAAGTTATTCTTATCTGTTTATAACAACACATTTAAAATAGAATCATGTTATGATAACGAAACAAGTTAGTTTCCAGCTGATTTACCATGAATCCTTTAACCTTTTGAGCGGCAAAGTCGCCTATACTTGACCAACACCTGCGGGCCCTGAGCGCCAACGACGTCTATAGTTGACAAAAAACCCGGCTCCGAAAAATATGAAATATAGATATTGGAAAATTATTACAGGTATTTTAATTCTACACTCCTCAAAATATGAATAACCCAGCAACATGTGAGTATAAAAAACAAGTCTTCTAGAGCCACAAGTACTAAGAAACATTGAACTAATAAAAATGGATTTTTATCTAAGCAAATACTATGTCCAGCACGCCAAAGTCGTCTATGGTTGACCGCTAGTGTCAAACGCGGGAGGCATAGATTTCTTGAAAACTATCCAAAATTCAGCTCAATGGTGTTTTTTTTTCTATTATTATTGATTTTGAATAAAATTAAAGGTTATAAACATAAAACTATAATTAGCTACATGAATAAAAAAATGTTATCAGATTATCTTCGCATAATAAATCTAATATCTCAACTCTAGCGCATCTTTAGCGCGTCATCGAAAATCAGTTTACTGGGCACCGTGATCAAGGATAGACGACACCCTGATGACGTCATAAGTGATTACCGAGAAAAGTAGAGCAATGCAACATGAACGATTCCTCAGAACTCATTCGGATTTTGGAAAGCGTCGATGATGATGAATTTTGATTTTTGATTGATGAATTGAATTTTTGATTGATTGGTGAACA